GCAGCCAAAAATATTTTCTTATCCTTATTTTACATTTTGTATGTTCTAACGAAACCATCGTTTGAGGTATGTAAATAATAAGATAAATAATATAATATTATATAAGATTCTTTTATTGATCCCAATTAACAATATAAAAATGTACAAATGTGTTGACGATTCCACCCCCCCCCCCAAATAAAGGACAAGAACCTCGCGTAGTAAGTAGGTAGTTAGGTACCGCAGAAGCTGGGCTAGTTTTGCAGCAGATCGCATCAGCAACGACCTTAAATATGCGCGCATATTTTCAAACTTCCGTGTTTTATGTTACTAAAAAAAATAACATTTAAAGATACAGACATTAAAATAATTCACAGAAAAGGCGCAGAGAAAAGTGTTCATCTGTGTGTGTGCATCACTGCACCAGCAAATACTCTCAGTAAAATGTATAGACTTTTCTACTTTACATGTTGTTGTTTTTTTGCTATTTGATTCTGGTGAAAATTGGAAATATTTTTCAAAGTTTATTATTTCACTTAAGTTAATTATTATAATAATTTTTTTTTCATTTGCGTTCAACATATAAAATGATATTAGCACGCCTTTTTGTGGTGGAAAACATTTGTATTCTTCTAAAAATTCATTAGATAACCATGTAGTTAAGCCCCAAAGAGGTTTAAATTTTTAAAAATAAAAAAAAAATGAAAGCCACGTTACTATTTAGTAAATATAAAAATATTTGCGAGCTGGCCAAACAGTGCCGTCGTTCGACTTTTCGAGGCCATTTTTTGGTTTAGTTCTCCCTTACCTTGAATTGAAAGATGTTAAGTAAGAAAATATCCACACCTTTAAGACCCTAAAATATCCGAGGCTCACTGCAGTCGAAGGGGTTGCTGGGCTCACACGATGTTTTCAATTTTAAGTGACACCTACATATAATTTTATAAACTAGAACCTCTTCCGTTGGTCTCTAAGTGTCATAGAACCTCTTCCGTTGGTCTCTCGGTGTCATAGAACCTCTTCCGTTGGTCTCTGAGTGTCATAGAACCTCTTCCGTTGGTCTCTAAGTGTCATAGAACCTCTTCCGTTGGTCTCTCAGTGTCATAGAACCTCTTCCGTTGGTCTCTGGGTGTCATAGAACCTCTTCCGTTGGTCTCTAAGTGTCATAGAACCTCTTCCGTTGGTCTCTAAGTGTCATAGAACCTCTTCCGTTGGTCTCTAAGTGTAAAATGCTGCTGACTAAAATTATTTTCGAAAATTCATTTTTGTATTTTGAATTCATCAAAATTTTCAAGGGACTAAAAAGATTGAATAGGCGGTATTAAGCTAGGGAAATGCATAACCTCAAGGGCACAACAGCTAGAATGAATTTATTTCATGTCCCCGTGGTGCGGCATGAAAGGTGTATTTGATCATTATTATGGCTCATTTTGGCGCTTCCCACACGAACTTTTGAAATGTATTCTCAAAATTGTCTGAAAGAAACACCAAATTCAAGTATGCGCCAAAATGCACCCCTGCCTTTTGAATTCGCCCTTCTGTCTTCAGTAACTTCAATTTCGGCGCCCCTTCCCTCACGCTGATCAATGTTACAGTATATTGTTGAATATAACCGTGTGCCAAATGATTACCGTAGGGCAGGCCACAACAAAAGTGAATTCAGTTTATGTATGACACTAGCACCCGTATGCCACCCAGACCTTTAAAAATGTCATTTCCCTGATCAAAAAGTCTAATAGAAACTTTGAATTCAACTATACTCTAAAATTCACCTCTTGTTGATTTACAAATTATTTTTTAAAATCTTGAGAGAAGGCTCCCCAGACCCCTCCTTCGCTCAAGATTCATCTTTCTTACTTACTGTTGCCTTTTACTCCTTCTTGGGCATATGGCATCTACAAGAATTTTCTATTCATCTCTGTCTTGTGCATTTCTTTTCAGTTGCTTCCATGTGTATCCCATGCTTTGTGTGTCTGCCTCTAGCTCGCGTCTCCATGTATTTTTAGGGTTTCTTCTCTTTCATTTTCCCTGTGGATTTCATGTTCGGGATTGTCTGGTGATGTTATCTGGGGGTTTGAGGAGAGTTTTTCCTATCCACATCCATCTTTTCCATATGATGCCTTCAACAATAGGCTGCTAGTATGTTCAATCGGATAAGTCTTTTTTAGTGAGGGTGTTTGGCCATTTGCTCTTCAGGATCTTTCTAAGGCAAGTGTTATGAAGGTCTGTACTTTCTGCAAAGTGCTCGCTGTTGTTCTACAATTTTCTACGTCGTATAGTAGAACTGTTTTGGCAATTGTATATAAAATTCTGACTTTGGTTTCAAGACTGAGCTCCTTTAAGTCCCTTATTTTCTTTAATACCACAACTGTTAACCTGGCCTTTCCAATTCTAACCCTGTCTTTCGCTTCAGCTCCAACATTTACGTCAATGGTGCTGCCTAAGTATGTGAAGACCTCCATTTCTTCCAGTGCATATCCTGCCAGAAAGATGTGCTCTTGGTTGGCTGAGTTTACCATTATGATTTTTGTCTTGCTTTTATTTATACAAATAATAGCAAGATTCATTGGCGCCCTCGATTTCTACCCTACACCCCGATGAAAATGTTCGATAATGTTTGGTGAAGAGAGATTCCCTGCCTATAGGCGTAGCTACTAGTTGTGCCACCATGGGGGCCATGTATTTTTGCCGCTCTCTCTTTCACGATACAAACTGTGCAGCACTTCCATAAAAAGAAAAAGTGGCACCTGAGTGAAGGACCTCTTTCTCCCCTTTACTACGCCACTGGAAGTGTGGCGTAGCTAGAGTGTTTGGCGTCAGGGGACATAATTCATTTTACACCCTTTTCAAATTCCTTCAAAGCCCATTTTGGTGCCCCCGATAGTGTAGCGCACCGGGAGTATGCTTTATCTGCCGACCCTTAGCTACGCCTGTGCCCACTGCCCATTGGCACTGCACCCCCCCCCCTCGAAAATCTCAAATACCTGCCCTGGGAAGAATGTCTAAAAGAAACACTGTGTGCCCGTTTAAAATATTGCTTATTATTATTTTTCTTGTTGTGTGATAAAAACTGCTAACAAATCACTACCCCCCCCCGGCCCCCCACCCCACAAAGAAGAGTGTGATAATAACTACAGACACATAACTGCCCCCCACCCGTGTTTCTTCTCACACTATTATTGATGTCTGTGTATTGACGGGCCCACCCCACAAAGAAGAGTGTGATAATAACTACAGACACATAACTGCCCCCCACCCCACAAAGAAGAGTGTGATAATAACTACTGACAAATCAGTTACCACCCCCCTCCCTGTCATTTACGTTTCAAGTTTATTTCTTAGACTGATACAAATATACTCTATCAAGTAAACATTCTACGCTAACCACTAATTAATAATTTGCCAATTTACTATTTACTAAAAATTAATCGCTCCGAAATAGGTTTTACAATAATGGCATCTCTTAGTTACCATATTCATTTATTGCACACCCCAATGCCATCTCTTAATTGCCATATTCCTGCACTGCACACCATAATGGCATCTCTTTATTGCCCTATTCCTGCACTGCACACCGTAATGCCATAACTTAATTGCCCTATTCCTTCACTGCACATCATAATGTCATCACATAAATACCATATTCCTGCACTGCACACTGTAATGCCATCACTTAATTACCATAGTCCTTGACTGCACACCACAATGGTGATGTTATAAGCTCTTCTTCGTATCTACTGCCCGGTGCCTTATTAAAACTAGGTTAGAATCTGACCTAGAATAGGTTCTAATCAGACATTCATTGGACTGCTACTGTGGAACCTGGCGGCGTAACTTGCACGGTGGTGGGGGGGGGGATGTCTCCCGGTAAATGTTTACGTATTTTAAAAACCTATTTGATCTTCAACGTTACTACTGGAGAAAGCTGTCCCCACAACGTTACTACTGGAGAAAGCTGTCCCCACAACGTTACTACTGGAGAAAGCTGTCCCTACAACGTTACTACTGGAGAAAGCTGTCCCCACAACGTTACTACTGGAGAAAGCTGTCCCCACAACGTTACTACTGGAGAAAGCTGTCCCCACAACGTTACTACTGGAGAAAGCTGTCCCCACAACGTTACTACTGGAGAAAGCTGTCCCCACAACGTTACTACTGGAGAAAGCTGTCCCCACAACGTTACTACTGGAGAAAGCTGTCCCCACAACGTTACTACTGGAGAAAGCTGTCCCCAGAACAATCTAGAATTTATTTCAATTTTTTGGCCTATCTGACAAAAGACTGGGTATTTTTTTAGTATCGACTATAGACAATAATATATATCGAAGAACTGGCCCCATCAACAGGTGATCCCATCAACAGGTGATCCCATCAACAGGTTACTCCATCAACAGGTGGTCCCATCAACAGGTGGTCCCATCAACAGGTGGTCCCATCAACAGTTGGTCCCCATCAACAGGTGGCCCCATCAACAGGTGGTCCCATCAACAGGTGGTCCCATCAACAGGTGGTCCCATCAACAGTTGGTCCCCATCAACAGGTGGTACCATCAACAGGTGGTCCCATCAACCGGTGGTCCCAACAACAGGTTGTTCCCTCCACCGGTGGGCCCCATCAACAGGTGGTCCCATCAACAGGTGGTCCCATCAACAGTTGGTCCCCATCAACAGGTGGTACCATCAACAGGTGGTCCCATGAACAGGTGGGCCCATCAACAGGTGGCTCCATCGACAGGTGGTCCCATCAACAGGTGGTCCCATCAACAGTTGGTCCAATCAACAGGTGGTCCCATCAACAGGTGTTCCCAACACCCACCCTCCAGCCTTACGGTGACAGTTGCGATAACGTTCATGTGGCGTGCCAATCTAGCACCGGGTAAAAAAAAAGGGGCCTAATGGTTATATTTCACTGGTCCCACCTCTGCCGTGCTACTCTTAGATACGCCACAGAATTCCGCGCCAGCTGACAGAAGTCAGAACGGTCGGTTCGAATGTAGGTCAACACTCCATTTCCACTGACAGCGCGGACTAATTTAGGACTACTTTCAACTTAACACATTAAGTGAGTAAAATGATAATAATGATAACTAACATTTTTAATTCTGATGAACCAGTTGGTGAACATGACCATTCGTGACCGAGGTTTTTGTAATTAAAGTAATTCCCTTTTAGACGTTTGAATAAGCTGGACAGAGTAACACAGCTACTTGAAGACATAACAACACATTGTAAGTAGGAGATTTCAGTTAAAATAAACACACACACACACACAGTCGTATTTAAAGAGATGGAGTAATCATTTTAAAGAATCAAGCTCGTCTCTACCGAGAAACGTATTGTCTGGACAGTATGTGTGTCGCCAACTGTATATGATGATCACAATATATGTGGCATCCCATACAATGAAATTGGCAGACAATATTGAATATATCTATAGCTATCCCAAATAATATTGATCATATGTGGCATTATCCCAAACAATATTGACTATATCTGTGATTATCCCAAACAACACTGATTATATATGTTACTAGCCCAAATAATATTGACTATATCTGTAATTATCCCAAACAACACTGATCATATCTGTGGATATTCCTAAAAAATATATATCACATCTTGGGTTATCCCAAACAATATGGATAATATTTGTGGTAATCCCAAACAATATGACCATATTTGTGGTATTTACAAACAATATTGATCCTATTTGTGGTAATCCCAAACAATATTGACCATATTTGTGGTAATCCCAAACAATATTGACCATATTTGTGGTAATCCCAAACAATATTGACCATATTTGTGGTAATTCTCAACAATATGACCATATTTGTGGTAATCCCAAACAATATTGATCATATGTGTGGTAATTCCAAACAATATTGACCATATTTGTGGTAATCCCAAACAATATTGATCCTATTTGTGGTAATCCCAAACAATAGTGACCATATTTGTGGTAATTCTCAACAATATGACCATATTTGTGGTAATTCCAAACAATATTGATCATATGTGTGGTAATTCCAAACAATATTGATCATATGTGTGGTAATTCCAAACAATATTGACCATATTTGTGGTAATCCCAAACAATAGTGACCATATTTGTGGTAATTCTCAACAATATGACCATATTTGTGGTAATTCCAAACAATATTGATCATATGTGTGGTAATTCCAAACAATATTGATCATATGTGTGGTAATTCCAAACAATATTGACCATATTTGTGGTAATCCCAAACAATATTGATCCTATTTGTGGTAATCCCAAACAATATTGACCATATTTGTGGTAATTCTCAACAATATGACCATATTTGTGGTAATTCCAAACAATATTGATCAGATTTGTGGTAATCCCAAACAATATTGATCAGATTTGTGGATATCCGAAATAATGTGTGGAATTTTTTATTTAGGATAGAAGTTAATGTCCCTTAACACCCAAGTGATTATTACCAAATATGCAAGTAAATATCATCAAAGTGGCATGTAAATATCATAAATTTTGCATGTAAATATAATGAAAGTAGCATGTAAATATCATCAGATATGCATTGAAATACCATCAATGTTGCAAGTAAATATCATCGAAGATGCAAGTAAATATCAAGACATCAAGAAACCCAATCTTGCAGGAGTTGTATGGAAACTGAAATGTTATCTGTTAAAGGTGATGCACTGTTTAAAGGTGATGCACTGTTTAAAGGTGATGCACTGTCACAGGTGACGCCTTAAGTTCGTGGTGTTGAATATAAAATTGATGAGAGGGTATATTGGGATCTAACGAAAGTGTAGATGTGTTATGTGTGGGGAGAGGCCACAAGTGGGTAATGATGTGTCTGACTTCCAATAGATGTCCTTAATTTCATAGATGTTGCGTAGACTGGCTAAATAGAAGCTTAATTAATGAAAGTTTGTCAATAAATCCTCTACCCTAAATTCCCTTTCGCTCTTGGGTTACCGGTTGGCGGGCTGATTAAATCTTCGGAAAGTTAACTGACCCACTTCCCGTCAATCTATCGCGCTGAAACTCGGCACATTGATTCGTTGCCGAAGTCAAAACGTTCTTTAATATTTTCAGCCTCACACCCGAACCCAAAACCCCACAAAATCACCTTTTTGTTCCCATGGGGAAGATGAAGGAAATAGGAGGAAACCGATTTCATGAAATAACATTCCCAATGACCACACTAAATCAGATTCTTTATAATTGAGAATATAGCGCAAATGCGTTTGGAGCGTAGAATTTTTTTTTTTGGTCTTTCTGAATTGTGAAATAAATCTGCGGTGTAAAAGCGGGTCATTAGAATAATAATATAGTTCGGGGGCTTGACAAAAATGTGTTATTGCGAGACTTGAAAAAAGGGGGGGGGAGGGGCTGAACCACTAATTGGGATGCTTATAAAGTGCTTGATTTGTATGCATTTTTTTGTTATTGTTGTTTTAGTTTTTAGCCCAACCCATCGATATTACGTATTATAAAGGATTTATTCGAAAAAACTTTATTCTTAGGCTTTGTTTAACTTTTAGACTTAAATTTTTCAAAAACGGAATTATTTTCTAAAACTTTTAAAATTTGTACCTTGTTTTTCTAATGTTTATTTTATTGATGTTTCTCAGATCATTGAGCTAGGATCCTTGAAATCAAGTGCACATTTGATTAACTGTGGTCAGAATTTATATCTTGGAATACATTTGCCAGCGAAACGTTATTTCTAATAAGGCACCTTCGACCAGAATCCAATACTCAAAATGGCTACTCCAATCAACGACTCATCTACAGACGTCGATACAACGCAAACTCCGGCTACCGACCCACTAACTACAGTCATGGCTACCGACCCACTAACTACAGTCATGGCTACCATCCCCAGTTCAGTGCTAGCTTCCATTGTTACGGCTCTGACGTCATTGACTCCTCACTCCTCAATCTCTGCATTTTTCAACGCGTCATCATCCAGTGCGTCATCGGGCGACCAGCCAACCCCAGTAACCTTCGCCTCCGTTGTTACATCTCGAGATTCTGACAACGTCACCGGCGTCCTGACCTCAACGACCTACAATTATTCCGAGTTTGAAATTCAGGCGTACCTGGACGAGCTGCAGAGCCAGACGACCAACATCATGCTGCCGGCCATGGTGTACCTGGTCCTGCTCGCGGTCGTCGGCTCCATCGGGAATTTCCTGGTGCTATTCGTATATTCGCACAAGTTCACCCAGACGGCCACCAGGATCTTCATCCTGGTCATTGCCAGTTTTGACATCATAACAAATATGATCGTTATCCCAGGTAAGAATATCCAGAATTTTTTTTTTTTTTTTTTTTTAAAAATTGAAATCGGCGTCGTCGCTGCTTCTTCTTCTTCTTTTTTTTCTTAAGGGCCCACGATCCATTTATTTATCATTTTTGTGGGTGACTCTTTTGATATCTTTGTTTTGTTTCGGATCTACCAAACCAAGAGAGCGTGTTTGTTTCCATGGCCATTCGGGACTGAGAGTACTTTAATTCTTTACTGATCTATCGGCTCGATGAAGTTTTCCTTAGTGCGTGATGCACAAATGCACTTGCTTTCAGTCTCATGGGATCATTTGTGCTGTCTTATCATTGCAGCACTTCTCCTTCTTCTTTATCGTAAGGGTCCACGGTCAATGTATTGATCATGCTGGCTCATATTTATGTAGAGGCGATTCGCGTAATGCCTGTGCCTGGTATTGAATAGGATGTTTCCCTGGTTGCAAGGGCTACTCAGCGATGGTATCAGGAACTGGGGAAGGGGGGAAAGGTGAAGGCATGAGGCCGTAGACGCAAATATGTCAAGTTTTGTCCCCCCCCCTTCCTTCTACTGCTCCTTTTGGAAGCTTGCTCCAGTCCCTGATTATCTTTGGCAGGAATGAGCAGTTTCTATACTGTATTCTTGCTGTTATGATCCGAAACTGCCTGTCCTAGCCTCGTCGCACTTTTTTAAATTTTTTTTAATTGTCCTGTACTGTCGTGAGCTGTAACAAGTACATTTCAAGACTAAGAAATACAAACATATGATTAATTGAACAGAAGATCAAGGTCATTAAAAATCGCATTGTCGGGTAAATTTTTTTTTTAAAAAACAACTTTAAAAATATAATTCATCCAAATTAGCATCACAATGACATTTTTTGTAAACTTGACAGACAGAAGCTTTCTGTGTAAGTAAAGAATTTTTTTTATATTTTCAATGGTTTTGTTTTAAATTTGAAAAAACAGAGATCACCTTATTTAAGTGGTTCTGTTTGTTTTAATTCTGGCTAACCATTTCGTTTTCTTATGAGTCATTACAGGCAAACTTCCCTTTACACGTTTCTTCATAAATATATACGTCATCGCAGTTGTTTTAATTATTGACATTCATTTCATGTGTTGTAATTTCAATCATTGACAGTCATGTCACATGTAATAATTTCAATCATCGACATTTATATCATAAGAAACATTTTCAATGATAGACAGTTATTTCATAAGAAACTTTTTGAATGATAGACAATTATTTCATCTGTAGTATTTTCAATTCTTGACAATTCCAGGAGAGATCTATGACATGTTTCATATCTGGGATTTCAACCAACCGTCACTTTGTAAGATCCGACTCTTTTTCAACGCTTTCACCACCATGGCGTCTGCCATGGTGCTGGTTGCTGTCGCCGTGGCGAGGTGGGTACACTATCAGTTTAATGTCCATATGGCTTAAATGAGTGGCTACCAGAATGTCAGAAGTGCTCATCATGGCTTAAATTAGTGGCTACAAGAATGTTGGAATGATCAACTTCTTAGCTTGTTTCAAAGTTTACATCATTTTCTATAATTCAACGTCCAATGTTATCAACAATAAGTACAAGACAGCATATGTTCTAACTGATCTAAACTGCACTTCAACACACTAACTGAATAGGTTAACTGAAAAGACTAATGGAATAGACTAACTGAATAAAGTAACTGAATAGACTATTTGAATAGACTATTTGAATAGACTAACTGAATAGAATACTTGAATAAACTAATTGAATTGACTAAATGAATAGACTAATTGAATAGACTAATTGAAGAAACTAATTGAATAGACTAACTTAATATACTAAATGAACTGAATAATTAAATAGGCTAATTGAATAGACTACTGAATAGACTTGTTGAAAAGATTTCTGAATAGATTAATTGAATAGACTAACTGAATGCACTAATTTTTAAAGAACAATTTTTATCAATTCAGGTACAGAAAAATATGCAAACCTTTCGGGAAGCAAGTGACGATAAGTGATGCTAAGCTCATCAGCGTGGCCATGACTCTGGGTTGTCTGATCTTCTCGATTCCGTGGGCTATCATCAATGGCCGGCAAACGAAGGCGACGCCTCGGCCCGGAATCAATGGATACGAGTGCACGCTCGATGACAGCTACCTGGATACAATATGGCCGCTGCTCAACACTTTATTCTTCATTTTGCTCTTCCTCGTATGCTGCGGCACCATAGTGGTGCTGTACGCCCTCATCGGTGTTCAGGCCTGGCGCCACAGCCATGTGCACGGTGTTTCGACGGGCGTAAAACCCCCGCACAGTTCTTCTGGGACCAACGATTCTACAGACAGCACGGAGATGACCAGCAAGTCCGCAGAGAATTCACGGGTCGGAATATTGAGCAAATCTGCAAGGTCGAGGTCGTACGTCAAAAAGAAATCTGGAGACCCCGAATCCATGGAAACCGTCATCAAAAGTGGTGTCGCGTGCGGCGAAGGTGATCAAGTTAAACCTCGCGGTGAAGCGGTCAAGGACACCACAGCGGAGGACGACGTCATTGAGTTGGTGGACGATGTCAAGGGCGAGAAAAAATCCGCATACCAGGCCCGGATGATTCGATCCCCGACGGGCGAGAAGGTCAACATCAACCTGTCCATGGTCAGGGAGCTGACGGTGAAGCTCAGGGCCGTGCAGAAGGAGACGGAACATGGGGACGTGGGGGACCTCTCGGACGTTGACCAAGTCCCAAGGCCGGGGAGATCTGTTGTCACGTTTAAAAGTGTGTCGTCGGATGACGAGCTGGGCTCAGGGGACGAGTACGATGATGCGGAGAACAAAACGGGCAAGAAAAAAAAGAGTCAGATGAAGTGTAAGCCTGAAACAAGGGACGTTGGTGGGAGTCAGCCGATGAAGTGTAAGTCTGAAACAAGGGACGTTGGTGGGAGTCAGTTACACAAACGTAGCGAGGAGCCGTCCGGTGGGAAATGTACAATTAATAATGGCTCTAATGACAGTATTGATGCAGCTAGTAGCAAAGGTGGGAAATGTAAAAGTAACAGTGGTTCCACGGACAGTATCGATGCAGCTGGTAGCAAAGGTGGGAAATGTAAAAGTAACAGTGGTTCCACGGACAGTATCGATGCAGCTGGTAGCAAAGGTCGGAAATGTAAAAGTAACAGTGGTTCCACGGACAGTATTGATGCAGCTGGTAGCAAAGGTGGGAAATGTAAAAGTAAAAATGGTTCTACAGAATGTATTGGTGCAGATGATAGCAAAGGTGGGAAATGTAAAAGTAAAAATGGTTCTACAGAATGTATTGGTGCAGATGATAGCAAAGGTGGGAAATGTAAAAGTAAAAATGGTTCTACAGAATGTATTGGTGCAGATGATAGCAAAGGTGGGAAATGTAAAAGTAAAAATGGTTCTACGGACAGTATTCATAAGAATTGTTCTAAGGCATTAAAACATCAGAGCAGTCATTGTCCCAATGACACCGTCTCTGTTATTGATCATACGAAAGAACTATCAGAGGGAGCGATAAAAGAAAATGGCGCCATTTGCCATTTAGACGCTGAGAGCAAAGATGAGCTTGACGACGAGCATCTGAACGATGAGCCACTAACTGACTTCGCCAAGGCGATGTTGTGGGTCGACATTACCTACTGCCTGAAAAACGAACGTGACGGCGCCAGCAGCAACGATGAACCGGACGCTGAAAACAATGGCGGTGGGTCCAACGGGCTGACCAAAAAGAGCTCCTTCACCTCGTCCCGCAAGATCTCAAGGGACAACAGCTTTCTGAGGAAACACCGGAAGCTGAGAGACGCACTGACGGACACCCTGGCGCGAGCTAGGAAAAGCAAGAGGGAAAAATCGGGCGAGGCCAAGGCGAGGGACAGCGGCGGTGTCGTCGGGGCGAACGAGAGGATATCTGAAAACGAGAATGGCGACGACGCCGGCAGCGTAGTGGGAAAAGATCACGGGGACGTGGCCCCGCAAGCAGAAGTCAAACAACCGGGGTCTTCCAGCTCTGGGGAGAAACATCGCAGCAGCGTGAAGAGACCGTCTCGGGCCTCCTCCAGGCGGGGCATGGGTCGCACGACAGCCATGCTTCTGATCATCAGCGCCGTGTACATTGTCGGCTTTCTTCCATTCCTGGCTCTGTCGTTTTATAAGCATTACGCGCCGCAGAGCTTCGGCGGCCTGAGTGCTGTAGGACTCGCGTTCTACAATCTTTTTCTGAGATCTTATTTTCTCAACAGTGCGGCGAACCCCATCGTGTACAGCCTCTGCGACATCAACTTCCGGAAGGAATGTTTGAAACTCTTAAAACTCGGCTAAAAAAAATCGATTTTTTTTTCATTTTTGTTGGATGGAAGTATCGGAGGCTTAAACATCATAGAAATGGAATGACAACATGTGTATTGATGATTATAATGCTATTGAACAAGTGCAAGTTTGACCATTGTACAAACGTAATACTTTGCAACAGACGCGTACTCATTGTAGCATCGCCTCAACAGCTTTACTAACGCAACAGCGCATCAGGGGCTAAATGAAAGTTATATTACACATCAACAATTATACCCAGAGTTTTCTACTGTTGCGGTGAAATCGTCTCGTGCGTACCCAGAGCCTTCATTTTTTGATTCTGTATGACAGACAGGGACACGTGCACGCCTGGCCTGTTTTCAGACCGCACGTCCAGTGTAGAACGGAAGAGGTCATGATGCAGCGCCAGTGGTTTTGAACCCACCTCCCCCCCCCCCCCCCAACCCGCCAGTTTTAGCGCCAGTGAAATCGTTTGAAAGGACCCATCACTAACGTCACAATTCCGCACGTCCAGTGTAGAACGGAAGAGGTCATGATGCAGCGCCAGTGGTTTTGAACCCACCTCCCTCCCCCCCCCAACCCGCCAGTTTTAGCGCTAGTGAAATCGTTTGAAAGGACCCATCACTAACGTCACAATTCTATCTCGCACAAATTATTTTACTATCGAACTTTATCTGAAAAACTGTGTGATAGAAAATGGAGATCATGAGATAAACGACTTTATTAAATGTGAAATAATGTCAAGGAAGATATTTATATATATATATATATATATATATATATATATATTAGTGATTGAACATCTGCTGCATGTTTTTGAAAGTGCTCATTTTTTACCCATGTTAAGGTGTAGATTTTTAAACCGATAAAATCCATACCGACTGAACGCACCGTTTGCACCGGTGCAAAACGCACTAGTGAACTAGTGGCATAAAACATGATTCATTTTGTTTTTTAACAGATTCTTTTTTAAAATTCTTGTTAAATCTTGTTTTTATTGTTTTTAATGCACTGCTAACAAACAAACTTGTTGGTCAAATTTTTAGCTTTTCAGTGATATCTTTTACTTAGCACGTCCTCAGCTGTAACCTGACCCAACCCTCAGTTCACCTGGGTTTGGGAGAGCCACGGCGGCTAACTCGATGAAAGATAACCTGTTCCCCCATCGCACTGCCGTTTGACTACGGACACCCATGTACCTAAATCTAAAATATTGAGATTAAGCAAAACATGTCCGCGTGTGCGGGCACCACGTCCAAGAAGAAATTGATTATTGCATTTTTCTACTTTTAATAACATTGTGAATATTAGGAGATTTATTTATTTATATTTTTTTCTTGTCTTTCTTATCATAAAAAAAATTATTTTTGATATCATTAAAAAAAAAATATTCTACTGTCGATGTAACTATTCAAATGCACTCTGTTTCTTCATTCCGTCACACTTCAGTGTGTCCAAACAACAGGCACTCCGTCACTTGTGTAGCCGAAGTACAGCACTTGTACCGAGTATAGCACTTGACGTTGGTGGTCGGAGTAAAGTCTCCCAACACCACCCCCCTCCCCAATCCCACTCTTTTTTCCCCGTCCAGTTGTGGGAGTGAAGCCTGCAGCAGAACGTCCTGTAACGTAAAGTTATGTAATTGAGGACAATGTCAGTTTGCCAGTGAATGGCTTGAAAACAGCTCATTAACTTAACATATTAGAGACACTATTTGAGCTGATCATTGATGCGATGACAACAACGTATATCAACTGTTTCAATGAAATCAATGAGCAATTTGGTTGACAGAAGTAAACATTAGTTTTCAAATGTTTCCAGAGATTCTTTCATAATTAAGATAAAGAATGGGATGCACGCTGTTCGCGAATTGAATCAACAAAAAAAAATTCTAAAATTTCTGAACATTCCATATGATACTCTTTATTTCTAGCCATCTTTGTACTTATGTGTGTGCATTTTACAACGTCTATAATTTAACAACAAAGTAGGCATCCATGTCAACATAATCAGGTGCACGGATAACCAACAGTACAGGCTAAACAACTACTAGTCCAGTGGCTAGGTCAGTTGCTCCCTAACTGTGCTCCATGGACCCCTGAGGACTCAGCGAGCACTTTTCATGACCGTTAAAGGAAATATATATTAAATCATTAACTTATATGAAATGGGGTACGCCTTAAGGGCTCCCCCATAGAAATTATTTGTAAATAGGGCTCCGGTAGTCAAAAAGGTTGGGAACTACTGGACTAGACTACAAAATAGACAAGTCATGCTAACCAGACAGACAGCGTACAAATCTAGAATGCACTGACGAGGCGTTAAGTTTAAGGATAGTAATGAGGCATAATTTATTTTCAGGCAGAAAACAAAAAGTGATGACTTTGAAGTAGAGTTAATCAGACAGCTTCAGGGACCCCCTGGACTGATGTTTGATGTTAAATTTTTTATTTACACAACGAATGTAACATGGCCCACTAGACAGACATTTGATGCCAAATCACTATTTACACAACGAATGTAACATGGCCAACTAGACAGACAGTTGATGTCAAATCTCTATTTACACAACGAATGTAACATGGCCCACTAGACAGACAATTGATGTCAAATCTCTATTTACACAACGAATGTAAAATGGCCCACTAGACAGACATTTGATGTCAAATCACTATTTACACAACGAATGTAACATGGCCCACTAGACAGACAGTTGATGTCAAATCTCTATTTACACAACGAATGTAACATGACCCACTAGACATACAGTTGATGTAAAATCTTTATTTACAGAATGAACCTAACATGATCCACGGGACAGACATTTTATTTTAAATCTTCATGGCGTGACTCCAACATTCCCCCCCCCCCTCCCCCAAGACAATTCTGAATATATTTCCTTGTCCCCTAGGAATATTAGACAACAGGGTAGAGTCTTTACATTTTATTTTAAATCTTCGTGGCGTGACTCCAACATTCCCCCCCCCCCGCCCCCAAGAGAATTCTGAATATATTTCCTTGTCCCCTAGGAATATTAGACAACAGGGTAGAGTCTTCTTTAACTTTAAAAATATTCTCGAATTTCGGTTTTCTTGACAAAGTCTTAAACTATAGGGCTTCGTATAAATTTCTCTTCTACTGAACATAGTGATGCAAACCATTGGCTTGGGGCACTGGTGTGTGAAGGTATGATCACCGAGACAATGCTGAGAGACAAAGTGACTCATGTGATTCAGATCATTGGGTGGGTTGGAGCCCTCACACGAGTGCTTCCAAAAATAGCAGAGGCTTGCCAGCAAAAAAAAAAAAAATCTCCATTGCTCAGAAGATGACAAGGAAGTGAAGACAACCCAACCGGAAGCACATCCTCTTTGTGACGTCGTATATTAGTGCTGCGCCCATTTCTGGGAGTAGGCCTGGTTGTTGTTGCTGTTTATTTTTTTCCACATAAGTGTTTTCAGTCGTTTCTGATGGTTAATTTTTGTATGACCATGTTAATTGTTCTTGTTAAATACTCAGTAGATTTAAAATGATTGAACAAATTTGAACGATTTTACCCGTCTTTTCTCATATTATATATTTCCATTTCCTATCATCGGTAGTTTGGCAAGTAACTGTTAGCTTTGTTATTTTAGATTTTTTGTTTTCTTTTGCTTATTAAAAATAAAAATTCAAACGTGAATTATGTCAAGTGGACAAAATCAGTGGCCCAACTCTATGGTCCAACTCAGTGGTCCAACTCAGTGGTCCAACTCAGTGGTCCAACTCAGTGGTCCAACTCAGTGGTCCAACCCATTGGTTCAACTCAGTGGCCCAACTCAGTGGTCCAACTCAGTGGCCAACTCAGTGCTTCAACGCAGTGGCCCATAAATGGTGTCAAAGGTTAATAGAATTCTTTGAAGATGCCTGCAATTTTTTTTTCAGCAATGTATTCTAACAAACTGTTTTTGCTTTTTTGTTTGTTTGGTTTTTTTTTTGTTGTTGTTTTTTTTTTGTTGTTGTTGTTTGTTTTTGTTTTGTTTTTTTTTGGGGGGGACTGGGGGGAGGGGTGTCTCTGTTTTGTTTCATAGGTCATAAATCTACCATTGCGTGCGTTTCGTGCCATCGAGACATTCATTTTAAAAATGTCGAAATCCTAAATATTGTTTTACAACAACGGTGACGTCAGACAATGCAAGTTTCAAAATGATGAAATAACATTACGATTCCTTATATTTAAATAATATTTTTTTTTAATACAAAAATGATATGATATGCATTTTAATATTTAAATTATATATAAATGTGTTGCAATAAAAGAGAAGTACTGTAAATTGAATTTCTTTCACACCAGTATAACATGAATTATCTCCCTTGCCTGCATGTCGTCTGCTTCGGTCATGTGATCATTTGACCATCAACGCAACATTTCTTTTTGATCCTTAATTACCTTTGAGATTTGATCTCAAAAGAAATAATAATAAGATTGTTACTGAACATACATTTTTGAAACGTTTAGCATAGGTATGAAATAACATTTTATTTGCATTAGTCTGACTTTCAATCATTACAACAATGACATTGTTATACAATCAAGATCTACATGTGGATTTCCTCCACATTTTGTATGCTCGCCGTGTTACTGCCTGGGTGCTCGCCGTGTCACTGCCTGGGTGCTCGCCGTGTCACTGCCTGGGTGCTCGCCGTGTCACTGCCTGGGTGCTTGCCGTGTTACCGTGTTACTGCCTGGGTGCTCGCCGTGTCACTGCCTGGGT